AGAGAGAGAGAGAGAGAGAGAGAGAGAGAGAGAGAGAGAGAGAGAGAGAGAGAGAGAGACAGAGAGAGAGAGAGGCTGGGGAAACTAATCTGTGGAAGGGGAGGTGGCACAAACTGTTTTTTTTTAATTCCTGATCTTGATAAGTAAGTTGGTCCTGACTCGTGTGGTATTGTTGTTTGTTCGTGTTGGGTGATTGCAGTTCAGGGTTCAAGGGAAAGATCCAGAGCGACAGTCCCATGTGATGCTTGTAACCATACGACAGCATTCAGAAAGTTTCAGACTATTGAGTTGTTAATCCAAGGCTTCAGGTAACTCCATTCAGCTCTGCAAGTTGTGATCCATTTGTAGCTGAGTTAGCTACAGTAATTTTTATGTGTTTACTTTACTGTTGAGCTATCCGTTTAGCTGATTGCATTCGGTTAATGGTGGTTAATGGCATTCAGGTTACGGTATTCAGGTAACTGCATTTAACCTCAGTTAACTTTTACAGCCAGCCAGTTAGCTGACTGCGTTGAGTAAACGGTGCCTAGCTGCCTTGAGCTTGTCGCATTCATCTAACTGCATTTAACGGCAGTTCATGGAACGGTTCGGCTAACTGTTGAGCTAAAGGTTCTAACTGCCTGCAGGTTACAGCATCACCCAACCGCTCATATATAACTCTGTGTAGAATGTGAATCCGTCAGCTAACAGCACTGAGCTGACCTTTCAGGTAGGTGCAGATAGACTTAACGGCCTTAAACTGACCTTAAACCACTAGTACACGGCCCCAGCCTTGCAGTCCAAAACTTGTCGCCACAAGAAAACGAGGCAGAAACGGCAAATGCGGGCCTGCCGTTGATAAATTGGATCGGCGGTCGCGTTTTCGTTTCGCGCCTCCAGAATTTGAGGTGTCAGGCACACGCGGGCCTGCCCATGTACTGGTGCTTTTAACTCGCTGGACTGACTCAATCAACCGCGTAACTGCATTTTAAGGGTGTGTCCGATTCAGCTAACTTGAAAGGGTATATAATGCAGGCTTGGAAATGAAGGTGGCTCTTGATCCTGTAATGCGCTTTTGGAAATGCATTTGTGGAAAATAACGCAATTTTGGAAATGCAATCGGATCGGAGCAAGTGACGATTGGATGGACAGGGGTCTTACTGTTCTCACAGTTCTTCACAAATGAAGGTAGCTGCCGATAAAGTTCTGAGGAAATGGTAAACATGAAGCTGTAGGGTTTCCACCGCAATGCATCCGTTGATATCCGTGGATTGCGATCCTGAGTTTCCATCAAGAAGAGTGGTTAGTTTTCACATTGCGAAATTGAAAATTCAGTAGTGTGTTTAATATCTTTGCAGTCTCTGAGCGCAGAAAAGTCTTTCTGCAGACATGGCGTCTGCTGTCGGTGTGGATACCTTCGCCTCTCTTGAGGGTAGGAAGGCTGTGCACCAGTACAGTAAGGCTTTGGAGGAGGAGGAAGAGCGGTTGGCTCAACTGAAACAGTATGTAGCCGACAATGACAGCCTTGCGCGATTGGTGGTCGAGCTTCCGGACCGAGTCGATCACAAAGTCATGGTCCCGTTCGGCAAGAAGGCGTTCTTCCCGGGACGGCTCGTTCACACGAACGAGTTCCATGTTCTTATTGGCGAAGGCTATTATGTCGAACGATCGGCACGGCAGACGATCGACATCTTGCAAAGACGACGAGGGTACTTGACGTCGAAGGTGAACGCCGTCCAGCTTCAGGTAAACGACCTTCGGATGCAGCATTCGTTTGTAGCAGAGACCGTGAATGCGGATGGGTTGGGTGTTGTTGAGATACGCGAGCCGTACGATGAGGCAGCAGAAAGAACAGAATCATCGCGCACAGGAAGTTCTGGAGCACGGAACGGCATATCAGATGGTGTGACAACTGCACCGAGGGAGGCGAAAGGTGCCGGAAGTAATGATGGACAGGCTCGGAGTTCTGAGGGTGCAGCGGCGATGGGAGAAGGCACTGCGGGGAAGACGAGAGAGGAAGACGAGATTGAGCACAAGCGGTTGATGGCTCGCTTGGATGAGCTGGAGAAGTTGGAAGCAAAAGCTGCTGAAGAAGATGAGGACACGGAAGAAGATGAGGCTGTGGAGGAAGAAGATGAGGATGGCAACAGAGAGACTTATTTGCGACCTGGTTGGTGGGCAAAGGAAGCAAATGCAGATGCCCATCGTAGTGGGAAGAAACTCTCAAAGCGCCCTGATGCCCAGGAAGTGGAAGAGGATGCTGATGCATCTGACATGGAAGAGGATTATGACAGTCAGGAGGAGCAAGAGGATTGGGAGGGGGAAGGAAAAGCAGACGAGGCAGAGGAGGAGGAAGGAGAAGATGTGGAGGAGGAGGAGGAGGAAGAAGAGGAGGAGGAGGAAGAGGAGGAAGAGGAGGAGGAAGAAGACACAGAGGAGGAAGAAGGCACGGAGGAGGCGGAGGAGGAGGAGGAAGATGTCGAGGATGAGAATCAAGATGAGGCAGTGGCAGCTGCAGCGGAGTTGGGATGGAACGGAAGAGAGCGGATTGAGGGAGAGGATTTGACCTCTGATGCAGAGAATGTGGCTGCGGTTTCAGGACAACTGAAAGTCTTGGATGTGGCACAACACAATCCCCAAGTGTCTGGGATGGACAGGCAAACAACAGTTGAAAGAACGGATAGCACAGGACGAAGTCGACAGGTATTCGTTTGCGATTCAAGACAAATGGTGCGGCCCATGGAAGTTCCAGCGGGATCGTCGGGAACCAGTTTAGACGGTGCAGATTACTCTCCTCCAAGCACAGCAGCAAGGGTGTCGTTCAAGGAGAGCAAATCTTCACCAGTCATCCATGCCCCAGCGATTGCTGCAAGTCAGTTGACAAGGGACACTACTATGGATGCAGGATTAGTTCGAGAGAATCTTGTGGCGGATGCAAGCCTCCAAAGAAAGGCGTTCACAGGGAAGGTTGTGGAAAGGGATACCGGGCTATCCCAACGGCCAGTTGAACCGCAATCTACA